CTAGGACTTTGGTGTGTGCACTGAAGCACCCAGGGGTCTGGGTAAAATGCAGATTCTGGCTTTGTAGATCTGGGGGCTGCTGCTTCAGTCCTGGTACTGCGCTTTGAATAACAAGGTTCTGGGAAAGCCTTTCAGAGTGACACGCTTCTACCAAAAGCAAGATGCTCTTAGATGGGTCACAAAGAGAAAGGGACTTCCTTTAGGAAGGAAGACTCAGTTTGGGCTAGTCTAACACTTCTTAAACACTAGCCCATCTCCTCAGAGAAAGAGGGAGCAGGAGGTAGTGGAGAGAGTGGGCCCCTAGCCCTCAGCAGGCAACATGGACAAGCACTGGGACCTAATAACATGGCCTCGTGTCCTCTGCATTTACTGTGTGGCACCGTCTGTCCATGGCGAGTGACGCTGCTTTTCTGCCTAAGCCACTGGAACAGCATTTCCTTTAAAATAAATTGACCGTAATTTGGATGAGTTAAAGGGAAATAGAAAGTAATAATGATTTGGGTGGTGTTCAGATGTAACAGATAACTGGGCAGATATTCTTGGAGCCCATGACCTTCCAGAAATTATATGGAAGCTCTTAAGACAGTGGAGCATTTTTCCAGGAAGAGACCACAGCTTCCATCAGATTCTCAAAGGTGTCAGACACTAAGCTAGAACTAAGGTCCACTCCCATAAAGTTAAGTTTAACTAAATACCAAAGACTTAACCAAGTTGACACCCTACTCCCTAAATCTAGCTCCTGAGATACTTGATAGCTTTTTCAAGACCTCTACTTTGTCACGGTTACAATGATCATCAACAAGTGGTAGTGTCCTTAGAATGCTCCCTCACACCACACAGGAACATGGACTCAAAATGGCTTAAACATGAGATAAGCCACTATAAACCTCTTACATGAAAACATAGGCAAAACGTTCTCTGACATAAATCTCAGCAATGTTCCCCTAGGGCAGTCTGCCCAGGCAATAGAAATAAAAGCAAAAGTAAACAAATGGGACCTAATTAAGCTTATAAGCATCTGCAAAGCAAAGGAAACCATTAGCAAAAAGACAACCTATGAAATGGGAGAAAATATTTGTAAAAGATGAGACTGACAAGGAGTTAATTTCCAGAATATATAAACAGCTCATACAACTTAACAAGAAAAAAACAGCCCAATCCAAAAATGGGCAGAAGATCTCAACAAGCAATTCTCCAATGAAAACATACAAATGGCTAACAGGCACAGGAAAAAAATGCTCATTATCACCAATTATCAGAGAAAGGCAAATCAGAATTACAATGAGGTATCACCTCACACCAGTCAGAACGGTCATCATTCAAAAGTCCACAAATGATAAATGCTGGAGAGGGTGTGGAGAAAAGGGAACCCTCCTACACTGTTGGTGGGAATGGAGTTTGGTGCAGCCATTAAGGAAAACAGTATGGAGATTCCTCAAAAGACTGAAAATAGACTTACCTTATGATCCAGCAATCCCACTCCTGGGTATATATCCAGAGGGAACCTTAATTTAAAAAGATACATGCACCCCAATGTTCACAGCAGCACTATTTGTAATAGCCAGCACAGGTAAACAACCTAAATGTCCATGGACAGATGACTGGATAAAGAAGCTATGGTGTATTTATACATTGGAATACTACTCAGCCATAAAAAATAATAAAATAATGCCATTTGCAGCCACATGGATGGACCTGGAGATTGCCATTCTAAGTGAAGTAAGCCAGAAAGAGAAAGAAAAATACCATATGATATCACTTATATGTGGAATCTAAAAAAAAAAAAAAAAAGACAAACTTGCTTACAAAACAGAAACAGACTCACAGACATAGACAACAAACTTACAGTTACCAGCAGGGGAAGGGGGTGGGAAAGAATACCCTGGGAGTTCAAGATTCACAGATACTACCTAATATATGTAAAATAGATAAACAAGTTCATACTGTATAGTATTTAGTATCTTGTAGTAACGTATGGTTAAAAAGAATATGAAAACAAATATATGTATGTTCATGTATGACTGAAGCATTGTGCTGTACACCAGAAACTGACACACTGCTAAGTGACTATACTTCAATTAAAAAATTAAAAATAAATACATAAATAGCACTGTTGTCCTATAAACATTATTAAACAGCCATTCTCCTTGCAAAGCAGTGTTCCAGAGAACTTACGAATCTTAATAATGACTGTTAGAAAGCGACCAGGATGGTCCTCGTACCTCCAGCTCCAGTTCCTCCCTGTCCATCTCCTGATGGATGCCTCCCATGTAGTCATTTGGATCGTAGTACTCGTGGGCTGAGGGATGCCTGCGAGAGATGAAAGATCTTTAAGGCCCAGCTTCCAGTGAAAAATACCTCTTCTCATCGCCCATCACAAGGCCTGCTTTTAGAGCCTAAGGTTCTAAGTTCTCTGCTCTCCAGTGGTGCTTCCCGGCACAGTCAGACCTCCCTTCTAACAGTTCCATCATTTTCACCAAAGTCCCTTTTTCCTGGAAGAAGGAGTTAAGATGCCGGGTGAGAATGGGGCTAGTTTTTCGAGTCTATATGACTAATTTCTAGCTCGGTCTCTAGGAAGGAGACAGACTCCTGTTACTACTCATGCCTTGAGTGTTAGATTGTTCTCTCTGGGGAGAAAAAGGCTGTACTTTAGGCAACATGTAAAGATGGGTGCTGGCCTCTGAGACAGGTTCAGACGGCTGTGACTGCCACTGCTATGCTATCATGTAGGAGAGTGTCTTTCCTGAATAATTTGTCTCTCAGCAAGAAATATGTCTGACATCACAACCCAGTATGCATGTACGTGTAGGTAATATATGTGCATACGTTCATAAAATGCGTGTGTGTGTGTATGCACACCACACACAGACACATTGCTAGGAGAACAGAAGCCTGCCATTTCTCTAGGTTAACATGTGTAAAACACAGTTCACAGAACCCACCACCCCTCTGGAAACACCATTAATGGAATCCCTAGGAGCAAAGGCAGTGGGAATGTAACACGCTTGGTCAGGTCAGCAGCTCTGAAAGGTGCCAGATGCAGACGGAAAGCTTCAGCCTGACTGTTGGCTGGGGACCCAAACCTTCACGTTCTCAAAGGTCAGCACAGCAATCCACAGGCCCGGGTCTTCCCAGCCAGGCACTTAATTTTGAAACAGCAGACCGTATATGAGTGGTCACTGAAACGGGGGATGGCTTTCAATTTACTGGACCCATTGGGCAAACACACAGCCTGCACTTAAGGGGCTGTGAGCACAGCGGAGGCTGCTGGAAGGCCTGGGCTCACGGTAACCCTCTACGTTCAGTCTGGATGCGCACCCCTGCGATCCTCTGACCCTGCAGCCAGGACCCGGATGGGGCTGACCTCTGCGGTCTTCTGACATTTCTCAAATCGCCCCCTGGGGCTGAGTCATGTCATATTAACTAGACTGAAGAGGAAGTGGAAGGGTTTGGCTTCTAAAAAGCCTGTCACCGTGACAGTTCAACATTTTAGAGTCAGGAGTAGCTTTCAAGGCCTCATCTATATGAGCCACAGTTTGGGTCTACAACGTCAAGTAACTGGTTTGAATGACCGTAGCCAGTGAACTGTCTGGTGGTTTCGTAGCGACTGGGATGCTACAGAGTACTGCAGTGAGCATCTGTGAGTTGAGATGAGGCAGACCTCCTTTCAGTCCAGCTGCCAACCTGTGCTGAGCACCGCCGCTGAGCCTGCAGGTCCTGGTTGCACAGAAGGGACAGTCGTGAGAAATGGCTAAGAGGACAGAGCCTGCACACAGCCTTGTGCCTTGTGAGTGTCAGACGGGTACCCTTCCTCTACTGTTACACGCTGTCAGCTGCAGCCAAATTCACTTTGTCAAGCCTGGGGATTTGCCCCGGGTTCTGCTAACAGCAAACCATCAATCCATCAAACCATGGGATGAAAGGCCAGCCTCTGTCTGGAGTCTGACAGAACAATGGGAAATGTGCACTCACTCCAGCTACTGAGTTACTAATAGAAATCCAACAGGTATCACCCAGCTTTTCTCTAGAAGAGGTGAGAAGCCCACTGAAATAAGGTATCAGGGCAATGATCTGAACCAGGAGCAAGATGGGAAGAGACAGGAGGGACTCTAACGTCAGCTAGAGAGGCTAAGCTGGGGAAGCAGGCCCCCTGCCCACAGATGTGCAAAATCACCTGCCGACAGCCACGTTCAGCTGGACATCTTTTAAGCCACTGGTCCGCCTTAGAAAATTTCTTGCTCTTCATTTTTTCCCCCTACATATTTTATATCAGTCACAAAGCTAATGATAGTTACTGCTATCACTTTCAAGTGCTTGCCATATGCCAGGCTGAGAACTTTCCATATGCATTTCATTCAGTCCTTCAACAACCCTGTGAGCTAAGTATTCTTACTATGGCTAGCCCTATTTTAATATACGGAAAAGTAAGCTCAGAGAAATAAAGTAAATGACCCAAGCTGCACAGCTAGAGATTAGTTTGAGAGTCAGGTTTGTCCACCTTGAAGGCTCTGAACTACTCGATGTCTCTGCTCGATCACACAGGTGAGAGGAGAGTCGCATGTGAAGCAGGGGGCGTGGTGCACGGGATCAGGCTGCTACTGACTCGGGAAGTGCTGTACTTAGGAGGCAAGCGTGGACTTACTGCACGGAGCTAGGCTGCGAAACAAGACCAAAGAAAGCCGGCGCTCAACCTCCAGGGCTCTCTTTCCTCACAACTTACCTTGTTGTCTGTTTAAAAGAACCATCAGTGTTCCCTCGAGTCATACGCACCCAACCTCCCCAACTGCCATTTGTGGTGATTAAATTTCATTCTGAAACAACTTTTACGACATTTGTAAGTAATTTTGTTCTTAGAATATAATTTGAGAAACTCCGCTCCAGGGTTATAATAAAGTAATTAATATGTCGGAGTGGTTTTGAGCAGGATTCAATTTATTGCCTCCATAAACAATAAAGTGGAACACGGGCAACTTGGAGGGAAATTGTAAGATGTGTTCATTTTGTTTTCACCACGTGGAACAGGAAAAAAGCCAACTTCCCCGTACTTCTGTGCCCCACTTAAGACATTCCCCACGCACCAGACTGTTACTTACTCCTCGGGCAGGAGGTAGGGGTCCAGCACAGGCGGGGTAGGCGACGACATCTTAGTAAGAGCCATGATGTGCTCAAAGGTGATGTCGGTCTGGGTTCCCATGTCCACCATCTGTGACTCTGATGGAGCCGTGAACATTTTGGTTCGAGGCGTTCTCCTCAACACCTGTACCACGATGGGCTCTTTGGCTGTCTTGAAAGCTTCCACAGCCTGATCATGAGTTGCTCTGGATAAGTCTTTGCCGTTGACCTGTGCAAAAATATTTAGAGTGAGAGAGGATTATAGTTAAGCAGAAGTGGAAAGAAGTTTTCGTGTGCAAGTAGCAGAAAGGAAAACTTGGGGGTGTCAGAGAATTTCACTTCTTTCTCTGAGGTTTCCCCAGGATTGCCTGGTGGGGAGTGGGTGAGTCTGGGAGAGCAGATCTGACATGAAATAATAAATCATGGTGGGGAAGTCTTGGCTTCCTACTGGAATGTCTGAAACATCTTCATCACCCCCTCATCTCGTCGGCGAGAGAAAAGAGCAGCCTCAGGCTCAAAGCCTTCATCAGGCAGTAAGAGCTGGCCAGAACTTAATGACGTTGCTGTGCTTTAATGGTGTGTATTTTCCTGGTTCGTGTCAGGTGACATTAGTTTTCCTTCTATGGAAGAGGCATGATGTTCCTTCTAAAATGAATGCCTTTGCTTTTCGTTAAATAAGTCAGTGGAAAACACGAAGTAAATGATCACACAGGCCACAGGTGGACAGGGCAGGCGGACAGGAGGAACTCACATGCCCGCCATGTTGGCCGCTGTTTGGGAAACAACCTCTAGCTTCACTGCTGTGCTGTTTCCCACCGTGTGCAGTGAGTTCCTCGCCACCGCTGTGCCCCCGATGCCTGTACTGAGTGCCCACTGCCCACTCGTGACTTAAATCATGATACCTCTTAAGAGTTCTCTCATCACAGTCCTGGGAAGTCAGCGGGGCCACAAGCACATTCATCT